TGCAGTTTGACACACCTATAGGGTGGGACAATTGGTTAGACTATAGGCTAACCAATTGTCCCACCCTATAGGTGCAAAAAACTTTAATTATAGTGATTGGATTTTGATGATTTTGGACTCATTAGAATCCTCTCATCAAGGTGATCATTTTGGTAGTTGTTTTATTTAAAACAGACTAGTAGATCAATAGTTATTCACTACGAAAAAAAAATGTCAAATTATATATATTTTAGTACATACAATCCCAAAAAGGAGCTCATATGGTATATTTGATTCCCCTTCAAACGATATTCGTAAATCACACGCTTCTTCGAGTCTTTCGAAAGAAAATCAACCATGGCAGAAAGTTCTAACATGGTTTATGGCTCGCATGTGTAACAAATCCATTGGACTGATTTTCGTTTATCTTTTAAAATGTCTTTTTTTTTAAAAAAAATTTTTTAAATTTTATTCATGAGACAAATATTACATGTGTTAGCTTCAACACTTGGAACTGATCCCAATACATTAGCAGAAAAAGAAAATATATGCAAATACTACTAGTATTTTTCAATAATAAAACGGAAAACGTTCTTTGAAATCTTGATACCTTCCCCTACAAAATTCCCAAAATTCAAATTTGAAAATTTTGCGGGGATGACAAAACTTTTTTTTTTTGTGAACGTTCGGATTACAATTTACAAATAAAATAAATAAAAATAAAATAAGAATGTTAAAACCATTGGGCCACAGATTGAAAAATATGTCAAACAAGCAAAAAAACATACGCGGTAAAAGAGATTTGTTCTTAAATCATGCGCGAATCTCAATTGTAATTAGTTGAAGAATTAGTAGTACTATCACCATTATCTCCGAGGCCAAATCTTGCACGTCTTCTTCTCTTCTTTTCCTTCATTTCGATCTTCTCTTTTACCCTTTGGTCTTCTAATTTCTTGGCGCACCGAACCGAACAAAAGTCATACCTGATTGGAACATCTGGGACTAAGCACACCCATGTAAAATTCAATAATGTTGCTGCCGACTGTGTGTGCCAACAATCGCACACCGCACAAATTCGTTTATTTGGTTCTAATAGGGTCGATCGGATTACTTTAGGCAAGTAATTACATTTAGCTACATATTTTGTGAATAAAATGCTCTTATTATCATTTAAAATATCACGGTAACACAATTCAGAAAGCTTAGGCACGGCTGATTTATAATAATAAACGAGCTGGGAATTAGATTCAGTTTCTTTAGGCAAAGGATTATTGCTGATGTCAAGTTGTTGTAGGCCATGTATTTTCAGAATTTGACAAGGAATCTCTTGTAGTTGATTATAGGATACATTTAAAAATCGAAGATGAACTAGTTTGCCAATTTGTGCGGGTATCCATGAAAGCTGGTTATGAGAGAAGTTTAAGTATGTCAAGTGCTCAAAAGGAGTCGTATACAATGGCAAGGAGAATAAAACATTATGAAGACTTTGTAAATTGTTGTGTGTCATTGTCAGACAAATACGATTGACTGGCGAAATTGCATGTTCAATTTTATCAAATACAGTGGTGAATTTATTAGTTGAATCAAATGATTTTTCATCTCGAAGACCGCTTTGCCATTTATAGATGGTGTTGCTGACTTCGGTCCTATTTACATCTTGATTCTTATTCACAACTTCAGTATTTTTATGACTATCTATCCATTTTAACAACTTTTCATTTCTTGAACTTTTTCTAATGTGCTTATTCGAAAGTGCACGTAAAGCACTTTTCTCTTTATCATCACATGGTCGCAACGCATTTGGATTTGGCTCCTGCTTATGATTTAAATTCATCCATCCTGAATTTTTAATATTTTCGTTGTTTCGATACCTGATGTTATTTAATCTTCCAATAACGTTTGACATCTTGCCTGTATTATTGCGTTGGTAATTTCCAATTTGAGTTTTCGAAACGTTATCTAGAGCGTCTTCTTTAAAGTGGATATCCTGTTTTTGTCGAACACCTGTTATACTCGGTATTATACCTTTTTCATTGTGTACTCCGGACATATCTTGACGAAATGCTTGAAAGGTTGAATGCATAATTCTCTAAAAGAAAAAAAAGTTTATTGTAAGTAAAAGAATCTTGTAAAAAAAAAAAAAAAAAACGTTGGGGCTTTTTGTTAGTTTATTAATCTGAAGGGGGGTATATTGGAGTATAGTTTTTTTTGAGTGGCCTTTTTTTTGGTTGCATTTTATACAGAATTGTAATAGTCGCACAAGTTTACCTAACCAAGCCACGATATGTATAAAGTTTCTTAATTTGTTAAATATAATATCTTGAACACCTGATCGCATGATTTATCGATATTTAGTTTCTATATAATATATAGAATTTATATTGTTATCTATATTATGTTTAAACATATATATTTTATTATACAACCAACTTTCGTTAAACCAAAACTTTTGAAATTTTATTTTTACAAAGTTTAATTTATTTAGATTTGGTTTAGAGAACGCTAATTGTATATATATATTTAACTTTAACAATATATGTGACAATCATTTTGATTAAACTATATAGAGATTGAATCGATGAAAAATTTTGACCGAGTATTCGAATATTCGTCTATATAGTTTTTAAAATACGTACCCCATGTTACATAAAAAAATACGTATATAATTATAATATATATTAAATTTATCAATTGTACCGTTACTAATAAATTATTTAATATGCAATTTACATGAAATACAATTTTTATATTTATCGTTATAAAAACTATATATTAAACATCAGGGAGAATAAAATCAATTGCCTTCATATTGCGTTTTTAAATATTATTATTTTGTAAAATAACTTTGGGTTGAATAATTTTCTCTTCGCATTCATTACGTATATTTCCTGCATCCGAAAACAGATGTTCATTTGATTACCGTTGCAGGAATTGCATGAAATTTTCATGCCATTTCTCTTAAAATTGGTTGTGTAAAGACCGCAATATTATTGGTTACTATGATCAAATTAAAACACTGCCAATCCAGGGTCATTTTTTTAGACCAATGTATTTCTAAATTTCGTTTTTTAGAGCTATCGGTAAGCTTCTTTTACATTAGGTTTTGGTTCACAAGCATAAATATTATACAGTTATATTCGTCCTCTTCATTATTAAAAGAGAACTCTACGAAACATTAACAGAAAATGCAGTATCTTTATTCAATATTAAAGATTTAAATAAATAATAAAAAATTATTAAATCAATAAATTTATCACTATCACCAAAAAACGTCAAAATTTAGATGATTGACCGAATTAATAACCGTGAATAAAAGCTTATTTCGATGTTATCGAAATGTTCGATCGATCGGATAATTATTCAACGATTCCATCCTCTAAATTAAACCATTTTTCTAAACTAAATAGTTTTGATTTATTGTTAATAAAAAAAATATTTATAGATTTTTTAATTTATTTATAAGTTGAAATTAGGTTAGAAAAATGTATTTTTTAAAGGAGTAATATATTTGTAGCCATGGTTACTGTAACCGCATCCCATAAAAGCCAATCAAAATTTAAAGATCAGGTGTAACGTAACAATCAGGAAAATTCAAACATCGTTTGTTTTGTTAAAAATTATCAAAAATCGATTATAATTCAAAATTGAGTATATGAAACTACTCTTTGGGTTCTAACAAAAAAAATTCCTTGCTAAATTTTACTATAAAGCAAACCTTTTCACCCGCATACTATCTTCACCTCACCCTAATCCTAACTGAGATTTAATTTATAGTGCTAGGGTATTGTAACCAATTAAAATTTAAGATCAGGTGTAACATGCAGATCATCCTTTTTATAACAAAAACAATAAATTTTTAAAAAATTAATTAGGAAATTATTATTTTGTGCAGGGTGCACACAGTGCACCCTATAGCAAACTACAGCAAAATCAATATAAATTAGTATTAAATTAAAGTTAAAGTTAGGTTTAGGGTTAGGATTAGGGTTGGGTTAGGGTAAAAACTTTATGAAAAATATTTTTTATTAGTCATACAACAGGAGTTACCCTAGTAAAATTTTGAGATATTAAGAGGGTGCACCGAGTGCAGGATGCACCAAAAAATAATGCCCAATTAATTATATCTCAAAATTTTATTTAAAAAATCATATTTTGTATTTTAATAAAAAAAATTTCCTGCAAAATTTTAGTATAATTTATATTCTGTTTAACCTTAACCTTTGCTTTAAACTAAACTAATTAAAAGTTTTATTTTTTGTAAAGATTAGATTGTTTTGATTTATATGTTACATCAATTTTGTATTTACATATAAGGTAGCACTATAGCAATATAGCATTATAATAATATTCCTTTTTTATAGTAATTTTAATAAAATTTATGCCAAATTTATTTAGAATTTTAAGAATTTTTTTAATAAAATTTTAGTATTTATTGCTAATAATAATATCACACCTTCTATTTTTTTTATTAAATTTAGAGATAGAGAGCAATTTTAAACCAAGATTAGGATTAATAATACTTTAATTTACTAAACTTATATCTAAAATTATACTCCAAAGCTTTTCTGATTGCAGATATAATATGCTTGAACACATAATAAGTTATTTGACTCTATTTTTTTGTGTAATCCAAACGAACTTATTATCAAGGCTGTCCAATATTTGAAGTATTTAATTCTAAATATAAAATAAATATTCAGCAAACTGATAGCTTTATCATTACCTTAAATATATATACACTTATATAAAACAATTTATATTGTTCTTTATTTATGTCTTTCAACATTTATATGGTCTTCTGAAATAACTACCAAATACAGTGCTCGACAAAAGTTTCCCTGCACCTATATCTTCTCATAGAGAGATACTACAACCTTAAAACTTTCAGAAATATTAGTATATATATAGCTTAGATCATGTATTTTTTTAAAAGATTTTTTAAGGGTAGAGTGTATGCAGATCATTTTTCATATAATCTACATGGTATATTAGATTTTTATATAGTAAATAAAAAAATGCTTCTAATAAAACTTTTTAATATCTTAATCAATTTGTATAAAATTTATATAATATGTAATTTAAACAGTTTATTTATGATATTGAAGTTCCACAATATGCATTGCTTTTAAAAAAACCAACTTCATATATAATTAAATTTTTTTAGATCACTATATGTTTTTTTTAGATAATACAAAGAAATTGCTATTCTAATTGGTCAAATCATATGATGTTTACATGTAAATCATATGATGTTTATATGTAAATCATATGATATCATATAAAATAAATTACACAAAGTTGATCTACAATCTATTTTATATGAAATTAGAAATTTGTACATCTTACCCTTAATTATTAGAAAAATTTTTAGATAAGAGCTAAAGTCAGAATGTTTTTTTAAAAAAATAAATAAATAAATTGAATTTAAAAAAAATAAATATATTATTATAGCTTAAATCTAAAAATTCTAAAAATTAACATATTAAAATTCAATGATTTTTATATTAATGATAAAAAATTTGGTCTAATTTGATGAGATAATTGTCAAAAAATTAATTTTTTAAAATTTGAGTTTCATTTTTAAAAATTACAAAGTAAAAGCTTTACAATCAAAACTATCTTGATATCTAGTGATCCAAATTTGATGATTTTGGTATCATTTAAATTATCTTGATGAGATAATTCGAATGATAGCAAAATCATCAAATTTGAATTATTAGAATTAGAGATGCCGTAGAATCATCCCAATGAAGTTGAATGATAGTTGTAAGTAATATAGTAAAGTTATGATATTATAGCCGTAACTTTACTTATTATTTACTATAGTTACGATATATAACAACTATTATTCAACTTCATTAGGACGATTCTATGGCATCACTAGTTAAAACACGTGATATTTATGAAAAATGTTATGCAATATAAAAAAAGTCAGGTCTCATAAAATTAAAATAAAACTCAAAACTTTAAAAATTAATTTCTCAATAATTATCTCATCAAATCGAGTCAAATTTTTTGTTACTAATACAGAAATCATTGAAGTTTAATCTATTAATTTTTAGAAGTTTTAGCTTTCAGCCTTGATGACAATTATTTTTTTAAATGAAAAATGTCTCAACTTTGGCTTTTATCTAAATTTATTTCTAGTAATTAAAAAATCTTCAAACAATATATATGATCTAATCTATATATGTACCAATTTTTCTGAAATTTTCAAGGTCATAACACCTTTTTATAAGGAAATATAGATGCAGAAAAACTTTTGTCAGGTACTGTAGTTCAGAAGAAACTGATAGTTTTTGTTGAATATTTTCATTATCTTCCTGTCTCTGTTTGTCTTTGGTATTATAAATATTGGTATTTGTAATGGTTTTAATAGTAAAAGTGTTAATACCAGCATAGTATTAGCTTTCATTTTGTTGATGCTGAAGAGACGAATATTATTTATTTTATTTTTCAGGTCTGTTAAATCATAATTATTTAATAGTTGTAAAAGACTAGTATATTGGTGGTTCTAACTTCTTTGTCACTTAAATAATTATTAGCATTATTATAATTATATTATTTATTTGATATAAGAGATATACTTGGTGTAGGTAGTATGCTTGGTGTAAAGAGTCAGAATGATTTTTTTTTGATATTAAGATGAGGTCTTGCTTATATATTTATTAGTAATTTTAAAAATAATAACTATATGAGATATAAAAATATTACTATTTGTACAAGTACAAATAAAAATAAAAATTATATACAAGAATAGAAACTCAGACATATTTATTTGCAACCTAAACCCACTAGAGTAATCAAAGACTCACCTAAATTCAGAATGATTTTTTTAACTCTTTTACTTTATTTATTAAAAAATAAAATGCTTGCTTCAAGAATCTTATATCTAATATGTATCAAATAAATCATTAGATTTATTAGTTTCTCAATAGCTCTATAAAAAATAATATGCACAATTTTTCTATAGCCTTATTTTTCTGCTTCATTTTTATTCGATTTATTTTTATTTGGCAATTTGGAATAGCAATTAGAATATTTATTACTTCTATCAATAGATAGGGTCATTGACCTAGATTT